ATCCAATCCGTTAAAATCGCACTGATCAGTATCAATCTGCACCGTTTTATCCGTTAATTGCGAATTAAACTTTAAAATCTATAATCCGTCTTCAAAATCGTTCCACTATGCTATAATCAGCGCGCGCGCGCACACACACACACACATATATATATATAAACCTCTAATGAAATATCAAAATAAAAATGAGTATGAGAGAAATTTAAAATGTTAAATTTATTACAAATTAGTAATTATATATATGAAAAATATTATATAAAATTAGTTTGTGTTATATATATATAAATTTTTTTATGCAAATTAGTATTATATTATGTAAATACTTGATAATTGGTTAAAATATTTTTCAATCTGTCAATCCGCTCAAAACCATCCAGTCAGTGATTTACTAATTCGTCAATTCACTAATCCACCATTCGATTTAAACCATTCAAATCGTACCACACATACCCCTAATCACACCACCTCTCTAATAAAATAAAATAAAAAATTAATTTTTAATCTGACCTCAAAATAGGCCGTAGGCAGATAAGGATCCGAACCTGATTAATAGCGACACTGACGGATCCGAACCATAGCCCGGAAACTATTCACATGCGTAGGCGCTGACATAAGTAAACTATTCACATGCGTAGGCGCTGACATAAGTAATTTTTGTCTTTTTCTACACTTCTTGCTGGGTGGGTAGTCTTTTTTCTACACTTCGCCAACTAGTCCGGCCTACAGGGGCATTAGACTATGCAAAATACTTGGAACCACATTTTGGGGGACACGACTTCCAAATAATTGTAACAACAATGATTCATCCCATTAAAAACATCACCACTAATAGTATTAATGCATTAAAAAAGTAAAAAAAAAAAAAAATATAACTCCAAAATCAAAACATCACATCATTAATAGCGGGACCCACTGTCACCTAATCAGTGGGAGCACTAATTAGTGCTCCCAAGCATTTTTCTAATTGTAATTCATCAAGTGTATTTTTATTTTTGTAATATTTCTTTTTCTCTCACACGTGTGTGAGGGTCACGGAGGTGAAGTGTTTGTAGGGGTCAGTATTATTTCTAATTAGATTATTGTTGGGGCAAATCCATCTAGTGTCTTAATTTTTTATTTGGAAAAAATAATTTACAAATAGAATTTCTCAGAATTTATATAAAAAATGCATTTAACATGATATAATAATAACATATTTATAATTATAAGACATAATAATAAATATTTTGATTAAACAAAATCATAAATAATTTTGTCATTTGGTATGAAACTTTTGTATAAAAATTAAGCTTATACAACATTACCCTTTTCATTTTGATTGTATGGTAGTATTGGATTGATACTCCTTGATCTACTATTTTAATGTTGGTTATTAGACAATCTTGTAATAATACTCCACATCATTCACATTGTATTACTTAATGAGAAAATTGGTGAAACATTCCTCTCTAATTTTTTATAGTAGAAGAGGTTCAAAATATTTTTTTTCTTTTTAGTTAAGGTCCCTTAATAATATTATTTGAGAAATTTTAACTTATTACAGAGAAATTTTAATTTGTCACAGAGAAATTTCACAAATTTCTCTATGGCGAATTTCTCTATGCTGAAATTTCTCTGTAAAAATATTTATGGATCCAAACTATTATAAAAATGTTGCATATCATTTATCTTATAAAATTTAAATAGTAGGAACCTTAAACTAAAACTACTTTACTTAACCTCTTGTTTTTCAAAAATTAATATGGAACTTCATTTGATTTTAAAGTTTCAAAAATAATTTTCAAACATTTAATATTTTAATTATTTTTTAATTTTTAATTCATTTAATCTAGATGTATTTAAAATATATATAGTTTGTGAAAAAATCTTTAAAAACTACACTAAATAAAAAAAAATATAGTATATGTTTAATTTTTTTTTTGTATTTATTAATTTTTTTAAAGATTTCTTTATAAATATTTTATTTTAAAAATAAATTTCATTAAATATATATACAAAAATTAATTAAAGTACAAAAAATAACAAAATTTTAAAAAAAAATGTTTTTAAAAGAACAAAACCAAAATAGATAGTCTCTTTCATCAAAAAATAGAAAAACATAACAAAATTAAAAAATATATATTTTTAAATAAATTAAGAAAAAAACATAACAAAATTAAAAAATTTTAAAAAAATCAAAACCAAAATTGATGTAGAGCTCGTTTGGGAGGTTAGTTATTTTAATTGACTTATTATTATTTTTATGACTATTTTAACTTAATTAAAAAATTTGTATAAAAAATAAATTAATTTTTTAATTGATTTAATAATTACAAAAATGAAATAAAATATTATAATTTAAATATGACATTTTATTTTATTAATTATTTTAATTTATTTTATCTTTACTACTTGTTTTGCCACGCTATAGTGTGATGTTTTGGGAAGTTGATAAAAAATTAATTATTTTGGCTTTTTTATGATTTTTTTTTTATTTTTTTGTGCTCAAAAAATAAAGAAGTAATGTGATTTAAAAAAAAAAAAAAAACTAGCTTTGTATTTGGTTGTCAAAGAAGCACCCCAGTCTCTTTCATAACAAAATAAAAAATAAAAAAATAAGGGAGACTTATTTATAAGTCATTTTTCAAACATTTATGTTAGGTTAAGTCCTGTGTAATTTCTTATAGAGTCTCAAATCCTATTTAGATAGGAATGTATTCCACAAGATCCTACATAAACGCAACGTGACGTGACACTTACATAAACGTAACGTAACGTGACACCTACATATATGTAACGTAACGTGACACCTACATAAACGTAATGTAACGTGTGACGTTACGTTTCGCAAACTTATTAAGTTTTTATGTTTTTAAATTGCATGTGAAAATGTTGTTGGCTTATGTTGGTGTCACGTTACGTTTCATATAAATATGATCTATGATAACATTCAAGTTCCTATATAGGAAATTGAATGTTGTCATAAATCATAAGTGTCACGTTACGTTTATGTAGGTGTCACGTTACGTTACGTTTATATAGATATGATCTATGGTAACATTCAATTTCCTATATATGATTTTACTATTATTTATGATATTAACAACTAATATTGAAGGTAAACGTAAAAATTTACGTTGATTGGATATTAATAGCTATGTGATCAAATCAGTTTTGTATAAAAAAAAAATGGACAGTGAACAAATTAACGGTTGAGAAAAAACTGATCCGATAAGAAAGCTATCGATATCCGATCAACGTGATTTTTTACAAGCATATAGTACTCGACAAGTTTTACACATTAAACGGTTCGGATTATCAAAACAGGATCCATGGTGGGTCTTCACGAGCCGAACAGTACTGTCCAGTTTGATTTTTGGACTAGAGCAAGCCGCTCCCCCTATATATACATAATTTGTAATCTTTTACTCTTGCAATCATGTTTTTTATAGCGGTATAACTAGTTTTGTTGCACTTTTTGATTTTTTAGATAAAAAAAGTAGTGGAAAAAAATATGATTATTTGGGATTATTTTTTTTGTCTTTTTTAGATAAAAAAAGTAGTGAAAAAATATGTATTAAATAATAAAATTACTGTATTACCCGTATGCCCTATGTGTACTGACAGTGATGATTGAAGAAACCAATACGGCTTGCTTTGAAATGAGATGGTGGGTAGGCATGCTTCAGAATATATATGTATAGGATGAGGCTTCCCCCTAGTCCGATAAAGGACTGGAGAGTACTGTTGGACCCGTGGGGGTTCATCACGGGTTTCGTTTCAATAATCTGAATTGTCCAATGTGTAGAACTTGTTGAGTACCATATGCCTATAAAAAATCATGTTGATCAGATATCAATACCTATGTGATCAAATCACTTTTGTATAACAAAAAAATGGACGGTGAAAAATAAACGGCTGGCAAAAATCTGATTTGATCACATAGCTATCGATATCCGATCAACGTGATTTTTTACATACATATATAGTACTCGACGAGTTCTACGCATTGAACGGTTTGGATTATTGAAACGAAAAACGTGGTGGGCCCTACGGGTTAGTTTTTTGTTTTTTTAACATATTCTTGTTCACACGTCAACTTGTACCCTCACTTCAATACAAATTTGGCTTGTGTACTTTTTTTTTAGTACTTTTTTGGTGAATAGTAATAACTTTTTAGTCTTTTTAGTAACTATTTGGCTTTTTGTCTTTTATAGACTATCCCAAACAAGCACTAAGTCATAGGTTGTGAATGATATTTTGTAAAGAGAAACACTATTAAACATCCTGTGTTGTATCATATGCATAACTTTAAATTTTATGAGTCATAACTAAAAACAATATCATAACTAAACACAATATGGAGTATAATTAAAGATCTCATGAGTTATGTGTACTTTTTTTTTTAGTACTTTTTTGGTGAATAGTAATAACTTTTTAGTCTTTTTAGTAACAATTTGGCTTTTTGTCTTTTATAGACTATCCTAAACAAGCACTAAGTCATACGTTGTGAATGATATTTTGTAAAGAGAAATAGGTTGTGAATGATATTTTGTAGAGAGAAACACTATTAAACATCCTGTGTTGTATCATATACATAACTTTAAATTTTATGAGTCATAACTAAAAACAATATCATAACTAAACACAATATGGAGTATAATTAAAGATCTCATGAGTTATAATTAAAATAATATCATAACTAAAAAAGGAAATTGATCATAACTAAAGAAGAAGAAAATGACATAACCAGTGTGCATATGATACACCTTTTTCAAAGGTGTATATATTACAATTTTCCTTTTGTGAATGATGATGAAGTTTTTAAAAATCACAGTTTTAAATTGAACCAAACCAAACCACGTTTTAATTGCTCGGTCTAATTTGTTTGTAAGATTTTCATAATTTAGTTTGGTTCCAAATTTCTTGAAATTGGGTGTTTGGCATATGGTTTTTTTGATTACAATAGCCAAAAAACCAAAATACACTATCACATCTCTCTAAGTTTTTATACGTTTTTTCGTCAAAAGTAAAAAAACAACTAAAATATTCAATTTCTAAACAAGCTCTAAGTAATAGTTCAGTTTGGTTTACTCCTAAACTGAACCAATCCAAATTATGCTCATCCCTAGCGTCTCTCATGAAGTGTGTATGCAGAAACAATCGCCAGTAATTTGGACAGAAGAACCAAATTGAAACTAAATTAAATCAAAGTAAAATTTGAGTCAAACTATAGCAGTAAAAAGTGTAATTTACCCAAGTTAATAATATATATTGATACACTTTTGTTTGTGTTTGTTTCAGTATTATGTTATAGTTTACATTTCCAATTGAGAGCTGGCTATTCTCTCAGTCAATGTTGTCTAGTTTGCCTTTTTACTGTGATATGGTATTTTGCCTGCCGTTTGGTGATAATGATGTCAAATTTGCAAACATATGACATTCTTCCCCATTTTTTGTTGTCGGGTGTTCCTACTTCAGCTCTTCACTTTTAGTTACTAGCATTTGTGTTTCTTCAATGAATTCTATGCCCAATTGCCATCCATAGTCATCGATGAGTATAAATTGCTTTAATTAACATGACAAGATTTGCACTTCCACTTGCATGATAAAGCTTATATGGCACCTTTGGTTCTGCCAAATTTGCCTCATGAATTGATCCATCTTAAATCAATTAATTCCATTTTGTTTTTTCAATTTGTAAATGAGATAGTTCAAATTTGTGTAGCTGTTCAACGGAATAACATTGAATCTTTCAAATCTATTTTAAAATTATTATGTATTCTAATAGAAATAACTGAATTTAAATACTCATAAAGAGAGTAGGGCTTTGTCAACTTGTGCTGTTACATGTTTTCAGCCAAACAAATCTAATTATCTAACTTCTGTAGATATTCAAATTATATTCTGGGGCCAAATTCACATTATTGGGATGACCAAACAGGCCCTTGCGGATTTATCTAATTTTCTTAAAGCCGTTTGGGTTTTGTCCTATATTTTACTTGGGGAGATGACATCAAATAAAATCCATTGGAGAACTGGATTTATGTAGCTGATCCCAAGTAATTAGGACAGGCTTGAGTTGTGTTATGGCTTAACTCACCACCGTGCTGCAATTTTTTAAAACAGTTGGAATCAATCAAGCCAATAAAAAAGTAAAAACGCCCGTGTTTGGAGATCAATTACCCATGAAGGCAAACCACTCTTTCGATTACAATCAATGTGCACTCTTTCTTAAGTTAAGCATGCATCCAAATTGTTTGATCATATACCAATATTATGCTGTGGTAGAGTAGCATGATAATCTTGTTTCTACTCCCCTTCCTCTTTACGTATACATGTTTTCTGCACGTCTCCAAAATGATTTACTTGTTTTTTTCTTTGATTCTTTTTTTTGTAACCCATCTTTTCACCAGATGGGAGAACTCAAGAAACTGGTTGAAGAGGGTAAAATAAAGTACATTGGTCTATCTGAGGCCTCTCCTTCAACAATCAGAAGAGCTCATGCAGTTCATCCAATTACAGCAATACAATTGGAATGGTCTTTATGGACAAGAGATGTGGAGGAAGAAATAGTTCCTACTTGCAGGTGAGGCATCTATTCTGCTAAATGACATTTTAGGGAATAACAAGAAATCCAAATTGCTAATTTGATATCCATTGTGATTCTTCAGAGAACTTGGCATTGGGATCGTTGCATACAGTCCTTTAGGGAGAGGATTTTTATCATCAGGTCCCAAGCTTGTTGAGAATTTTGCAAATAAAGACTTCCGACAGGTTTGTGCAATGTTAATGTCGTCATCACATTGTTGTGAATAGTCTTGACTTTCTTTGTGCAAACTGTAGAAAAGTAATTGATGTTATAAGCTGATAAAATACACCATGTTTTCTAAAAATTAGGAGCGCTTGTTAGTGAAAGTTTTGTATATAAAACTTATTAAAGTCCTTTTATACTGAAATTGTAATTTTATAGCCAGTCAGTTGTATGTTTTCTGCTTCTTTGGGCATAAATTACTTTTGTGCTTCTTGGATTTTGTATTAAACCACATTCCAGTGAACTTTGTCAACAGGTGTAACTATTCAATGAAAAACTTTTCGTTTTTCATCTTTTGGCACAAATTTTTTATTGCGGATGTAGTTACGTTTATTTCATCCTTCAAACTCTCTTAATCCATTAGGAAAACAGTCATTGTGTTGGGTTGTCATTCAACTTCAGAGCTTGTTTTACGTGATCAATCTCTGTATGGCGGATTCACAGTTCTGATGCTGAATCTTGTATATCATTTATTTTTTACTTTTTTGCAGCATCTACCAAGGTTCCAGCCGGAGAATATGGAGCATAACAAAAAGATGTTTGAGCAAGTTAATGAAATAGCAGAGAAGAAGGGGTGCACCCCAGGGCAGCTAGCATTGGCATGGGTTCATCACCAAGGGAGTGACGTGTGTCCTATTCCCGGCACCACCAAGATTGCAAACTTGGATCAGAACATTGGAGCTTTGTCAGTAAAACTGACACCAGAAGAAATGGCTGAACTTGAATCCATTGCATCAGCTGATGCAGTTAAGGGAGATAGGTATGGGGAGGGCCTGACTACTTGGAAGAATTCAGACACCCCACCCTTGTCCTCATGGACATCTTAAGAAATACATCTTTCACTTGTGTTGGTTGTTCCTTTGGAGTTGTAAAAGAACTTGGTTTTGTGATCCTCTGTTTTTGGAGTGTGTGTAATCTGTATTTGGTTTTTATGTGAGACCATGTTCAGGGTGATGTGAGCAGGGAAGGGAACTTCATTTTGTCCATCACCATTGGAGATATAAATAAAAGGAGTTAAAATTTCTGTGGTTAATTTTATGGTTGGTTAAATTACACTAACTTCTATTAACCTTTGAAGAAAATATATCAAGTCCACAAATAACCAAATGAATCAAATAAATTAAATGTAGATTGTTGTGCGAAAAGTCCGCCGACAAGAAAATCATATCAAAATAGTTGATGGTTTTGAATATGGAATAGAAGAATTATGTAAACTATGTAAATTCATGAGAGAAACAATTGTAAGATATCAAGATTTACGTGGTTTAACCTTAGTCTACATTCACACGTGAAAAGAAGAATTCACTATCGAGAGAGAATAGTTGCTCTTGAGAGTTACAAGGTGACAAAATAATCTCTCACAAAACTTACCACTCAAATACTTTGTTACCAAACCCAAAATCCTCTCTACTTCTGAGAGACAAGTTCTCCCAAGGAGACATATAATAGATTTAGTTAAACATAATTATAGATCCCAAAGCAAAGAAGAAAGAGAGACGAGAACAAAATTTGAACCCTCTAAAGCAAGATAAAATCTCACTAAATCAAGACTTCAAAAAAGACACCAAACTAAACAAGTCATTTTTGACTACTCCAAACAAACTATTGTGAACATATACGGATCTTCCAAGACCAACAAATATAGATTTTTCAAAACTAACGATTACAGATTTATGATCACCAAGCAAGGAGAAAACCTCCAAAAAGAGACCTTAAGGAACTTCAAAAGCTCTACCAAAACTACTCGTTCAACTAAAAAATCTAATTGAACGAGTAGTCTTCACATATTTATAACCAAATAATCATTCTTAAAACTAATCCTAAACAAAATAGGTTTCCTATCAATCTAATTCATAATAATTAAGAAACTCTAAATTCAAAGTTTTAGAAGATCCAAATAAGGGCAAATAGATCTCTTACAAATTCAAACCAATATTGAGTGAAAAACAAGTCCAAATTTGACTCAATAACTCTTCGCACAATTCTTATTCCAATTACAAAATAAAATACTGATGATACAGTTTGATGATACAGTTTGTGATGGTAGAATGGGCCGGACTGATCCACGCTCCTTAAACCTATATTCGAATGACCAAGCCCACCTGGAGACCTGCACAAGAGTTCAACGGGGAATGGGGAGTCCCCAGCGAACCCTCCGACGAGCAAGTTAGAGAGAGAGAGGTGGATTGTAGAGATAGACTAGAGATAGAAAAGCTTAACCTTCTTCATGTCTTCAACGTCTGCTTATATCCTCTGGTAATCATTTCGTTGTCCCTTCCGACCTGTCACCTTGGCCGAAAGTCTATGCTGTAGCTTACCTTGTTCAGGGTGAGGGCATGCTGTCCCGACGGAGAGGGGTTATCGCAATAAATGTTGTAAGGGGCCTCATTAATGGCGATGTGTCGTGGCAATAACTTTGCAGATCTTTGTCTGCTGATGTGGCTTGCCCTTCTCTCGCCACGTGTCTTGATGTCATTGGTTCTTATTGTTATATGGGGCTATAGCAGTGCTGGGCTTTAGTATTTGAGATATGTATTGGGCCCTAAATGGTGGGCTATAATCTTTATGGGCTTACCCATGTCAGTAGTCCCCCATTCCCAAGTGCAGCTTTAGTCCAACGAAGGGAATAATGAAGAAAATGAGGGTTGTTAGAGACCGGCAGGATGCAGGCCGACCGATAGGAGTGACCGAGTGGATGGACCGACCAAGAGGAGGGCCGAGCGCGAATGGTGGCCGAGTGGAGGCACCGACTGTAAGGAGGACCGACCACGAAGGGTGGCCGAGTGGAGGCACCGACCGTGAGGAGGGCCGACCACGAAAGGTGGCCGAGTGGAGTGACCGACCATAAGGAGGGCCGACCGCGGAGGGTCGCCGAGTGGAAGGACTGACCACGAGGAGGGCCGATCACGAAGGGTGGCCGAGTGGAGTGACTGACCATGAGGAGGGCCGATCGCGGAGGGTCGCCGAGTGGAGGGACCAACCACGAGGAGGGCCGACCGCGAAGGGTAGCTGAGTGGAGGTACCGACCACGAGGAGGGTCGATCGCGAAGGGTAGCCGAGTGGAGGGACTGACTATAAGGAGGGCCGGCCGCGAAGGGGGAGGTGGCGGGGCGCGGGGCTCGAGAGGCGGCGAGCCACGTGGTGACTTGAAGTGGAAAAGATAGGGTAGGGGAATGGGGCAGTGAATCGTGGCCATACACGTGGTAGAATCACGTGGTGGGGAAGGTTAGGGGGAACGGGGAGTCCCCCAGTGAACCCTCCGACGAGCAAGTTAGAAAGAGAAGTGGTATGTAGAGATGGATTAGGGATAGAAAGCTTGACCTTCTACATGTCTTCGACGTTTGCTTATATCCTTTGGTAATCATTACGTTGTCCCTTCCGACCTGTCACCTTAGCCGAAAGTCTATGTTCTAGCTTACCTTGTTCATGGTGAAGGCATTTTGTCCCAACGGAGAGGGGTTATCGCAATAAATACTGTAAGGGGCTTCATTAATGGCGATGCGCAGTAGCAATAACTTTGCAGATCTTTGTCTGTTGATGTGGCTTGCCCTTCTCTTACCATGTGTTTTGATGTCATTGGTTCTTATTACTACATGGGACTGCTGTAGTACTGGGCTCTAGTATTTGAGATATGTATTGGGCCCTAAATGGTGGGCTATAATCTTTATGGGCTTACCCATGTCAGTAGTCCCCCATTCCCAAGTGCAGCTTTAGTCCAACGAAGGGAATAATGAAGAAAATGAGGGTTGTCAGAGACCGGCAGGATGCAGGCCGACCGATAGGAGTGACCGAGTGGATGGACCGACCAAGAGGAGGGCCGAGCGCGAATGGTGGCCGAGTGGAGGCACCGACTGTAAGGAGGACCGACCACGAAGGGTGGCCGAGTGGAGGCACCGACCGTGAGGAGGGCCGACCACGAAAGGTGGCCGAGTGGAGTGACCGACCATAAGGAGGGCCGACCGCGGAGGGTCGCCGAGTGGAAGGACTGACCACGAGGAGGGCCGATCACGAAGGGTGGCCGAGTGGAGTGACTGACCATGAGGAGGGCCGATCGCAGAGGGTCGCCGAGTGGAGGGACCAACCACGAGGAGGGCCGACCGCGAAGGGTAGCTGAGTGGAGGGACCGACCACGAGGAGGGTCGATCGCGAAGGGTAGCCGAGTGGAGGGACTGACTATAAGGAGGGCCGGCCGCAAAGGGGGAGGTGGCGGGGCGCGGGGCTCGAGAGGCGGCGAGCCACGTGGTGACTTGAAGTGGAAAATATAGGGTAGGGGAATGGGGCAGTGAATCGTGGCCATACACGTGGTAGAATCACGTGGTGGGGAAGGTTAGGCGTTGGGCCAAAAGTGAAACGATAGGTCATTATGGGTGTTGAAAAGACAGTTTTGGCGGATGGTTGAAAATTTTTCAAACTGGCGAAAATTAATTGTGACCCCTGGAATACAAGCAAGCCTTGGGCTTTTGGTATTATACGTTTTACCTACATTTTTTTGAAAAATCAAAACATTCCAAGTGTAGACTCCTTTGTTGCAAGTGATACACCCTTGCGACATTTTTTGAATTTCCTTGCGCCCGCATCCGAAGCTATTCGTAGACACACCACAAAAAATGGCCCAAGAAGATGTTGCAGACGCCAGGGTTGATCCATTGGGGGACGACGATGTGGTGGATTTGGCGGAGCAATACAGAACGGAGAGGCGAGTGGGGAGTGGGGAGGAACCGTCGGGGCGACCTCGCTCGTCCACAATGATGGCGGCGCCGACGCCAATCAGCCAGGTGGAGCCAGATCACTGGCATACAAAGGCTGACAAGTCGATCATTACCGCGAAGGAGCTGGAGGGTATGCGGGAGAAGTACCAGATTCCCGCAGAGATAGAGTTGAGACTACCGGAATCAAAGGAGAGGGCATCCGATGTTCGACCGGGGGAATTCGCCCTATACGAGGAGGCGCTAAAAGGGGGTTTGAGGTTGCCCCTGCCCCGGATAGTGGTGGACGTGTTGAACCGGTTGGAGGTAGCTCCAGGCCAACTGATGCCAATACGTGGAAAATCTTGCTGGCCTGTGCGAGCGCATGGCCGAAGGCGAACGGGGGGGCTGAAATGACGGTGGATGAGTTTTTTGCGTACTACAAGGCGTCGGGGCAGCAAGTGACTTGGGTCACTTTGCAAGCGGCAGCAGAGAAGGGGTTGGTGGCGGGGTTGCCGTCATCGATAAAGGGGTGGAGGCCGCGGTGGCTCTATGTGTCCGCCAACGGAGGGGTTGGAGTGCGCACAGTTTGGAAAGTGCCCACCAAGTCTGTGGAGCCAAAACTGGGGGCAGCAGCAGAGGCGAGAGTGAAGAAGTAGAAATGGCAACGGGGCGGGACGGGGCGGGGCCGGGGATCACCCTCCCCATCCCCGATCCCCGATGGCCAAAACTTCTCCGTCCCCGGCCCCGATCCCCGACGGGGAACCTTTCACAGTCCCCATCCCCGTCCCCAACAGGGATCGAGTTTCCCTGACCCCGAAATTCCCCGATCCTCATCAACAGATCAAAAAACAACAGATCAAAAACAAACAGATGAAGCTCATCATCAACAACAGAGATCAAAAACAAAAAAATTACAGCTCATCATCAAATTACAGATCAAAAAAAAAAATTACAGATCAAAAAATTACAGATCAAAAAAAAAATTACAGATCTGAGCTGATGAGGGCGGCGGAGGAGGATATCGGCGGAGGAGGGCAGCGGTGGAGATCGGCGAAGGAGATCGGCGAATGAGGAGATCGGAGGAGATTGGCGATGGAGATCGACACGAAGCTCTCCAGTGAGAGATCAAGTGAGAGAGTTGAGAGAGTGAGAGATCGGCATGGAGATCGACACGAAAGAACAAGAGTGAGAGTGAGACCGAATGAGAGAGTTGAGAGACAGAGAAGAACGAGAGTTGAGAGAGTGAGAGATAAGAACGAGAGTGAGAGTGAGAGTGAGACCAGTGAGAGAGAAGAACGAGAGTGAGACGCACAGGTTTATTATATATATATATATATTATATATA